TGTGTGTGTGTGTGTGTGTGTGTGTGTGTGTGTGTGTGTGTGTGTGAGTCCTGCAATTGATTCCTGACCTGCACAGAAGGTTACTTCTCATCTGCATGTATTGAGTCATTGGGTACCATTACGCCCCCTGATTTGAGGTCGTTGCTTTGGATGAGATGCAAAAACAAACAAAAGAGGGAAAAAATCAAAAGAGCATCTTCCGTTTGGAGCTGGAACCTGTGCAGGGAAGAGTGCCGGTGGTGCGGCCGTCAGCAGGGCTCGTGTTTGGCTGAGTGTGTGTTGACAGAATAGGGAATGTCCCCTGATGCTTCATTAGTTCCACACGAGGAGAACCTTGCTGCAGTTTGGCAGTTGAATACACTTCTCCGAATTAATAAAAAAAAACAAGAGCAAAGAAAAAGATAACTCCCTTCATCCTGCTATCTGCGGGAGAGCTGGCTGAGTAATTAAGACCAGACAAAGCCAGAACTCCGTTTGCAGTGTGCCCCTGCTTTCAAATCATCAGAAGAGACCCACTGAAAATGCAGGAGGCCTGTATGATGTGCTCTTTAATTTTTGCAGCGTCGTGTGAAACTGTTTTGCATTACAAAAAGACGGAGTTCCTCCTGTGAGCAAGAAATACTCACCGGACACTCATTAGGCAGCCAGAGCGTGGGGCTGAGAGCTGGGGGGAAGGGGGTGGGAGATTGTCGGTGTCCACCCGACGTGTCTGCGACCAGACCATGGACCGGGGCGGGGCAGGACCTGGAGAGCCATCCGGCCTCCTGAGAGGTACAGTTGCTACCACCTTCCCTGTTCCCATCGGCTGACCTCGCGCTGATCACAGCCCATCCGCTGGCCTGCCTGCAGTCTGTTCATCTCGCTGGCACGCTACTGGCACGGGTGAATTTTTCCCAGATAAACATCAGTCTTCTCCACGGGCGTCTGCGTCAGGCCCTACATGGTGCCCGTGTAACGATACAACCACAACGGTACAACACAACCACAGTGTCGTGGGTGCACCGCGGGTTTGCAGTAGCAGCCAGCAGTCAGCGAATGTAGCCAACAAAAGAACCCATACCCCCCCACGTGGCAGGAGGAGGAGGAGGGTGCTGCAATGCCGAGGAAGAGCAAGCTGATCCAGGCTGAGAGCCTGACAGCACAGCCAACTAAAAACGGGATAGACGCAGCAGAGACCTCCTAAAAAAAACCCTTCTTTCCTTGCTTTCCATCTGCAGAGACAGGAGCAGTTGATGTGATGAGGGGGAGGGAACGTGCACCAGTCGTCGCCCCCCCAGTCTCCCTCTGAGAAAGCCGCCGGGAGGTAAATCCTTAAAAACCACAACAGAGGGCCCCCGACCCCGCTGACGTACAACATCTGTTCTTGTAAAGATGGGGCCAGGGGTCAAGGGACCCCTTCCACAAGCCTGATCTCAGCAGTAGCCGAGGTGGACCAGTAGGAGGTGCTCACCCCTCATCCCTGGGCCCAGAAGCTCAAGAAGCCACGTCTGACTTTGGCTGCAGCCCTATGGCTCCTTAAAATGAGGTTCTGACTGCCTTTTGCAGACTATAGCGAGCTGGCCAGTCTTGAAACCAATAGGAGAGGACATCCCACTGGGAATATTCTGGGAACAGCCTTCCCTTCCCCCCCCCCCCCCCTCCCTGTTGCTTAATTGGCTCAGTAATTCTTTAGTTTCTCTCCCGTATCTGTAGGCCTCTGAGCTGCTGCCCTCGCTGGTTCTGTTAATTGCGTTTTCCCGGCTCTTATGCAAGGGCAGCTGTCGCGTGTCCTTGGGTTCACCCTGCTCTTCCTTCTGACAGGCCCTTCAAGAGCCGAAAGAAAGGACGGAGAAGGGGAATTGAATTCTCTTTCGTCCAGCAGCGCTCTTTAATGGGATTATTTCCACTCAACCCTCCCGTGTTTCCTGCCAGAGACAGTTAAGCCCTTCCAAAACCCTTTTGTGTCCAGAGAATCTAACGGCCTCTGACAACAGGAACTCAGACTGCTCAAGACTCTGGTAAGTAATCGAACCCTTAGCACAATGAAGTCAGTGCTTGATGCTTAATATTCTTTCTGCCCTCTACTGTAGGTGGCAGTGCACTTTGAGCCACTGTGTATGACTGTGGGGGCTTCTAATTTGCTTTTTACCCTGAGCGATTGCATAATCTCCTGTTCGCGGGAGAAGCTTGAAGGTCTGCCTTATCTTTTCATGCTCTTCTCTATACTGGCAGCTGGCAGGGGTTCGAAGGTCACTGAGCAGGAGGCTCCTGTTTTTGGGGGTTTTCTCCTGGCGCTCCTGTTTCCTCCCACAGTTCAAAGACATGCTGGTAGGTCAACTGGCTTCTGGGAAAATGGGCCCTCCTTTACACAAAGGGTGGTGGGAGTATGGAGCGATGCCAACACCATGGCCTCTTTCAAGAAACAGCTGGCTCTTTGGATCAGCCAGCAACTAACTACACAACCAAGGCGCTGGATAGGCCACATGCGCATTTCACAAATTTTGCAAACGTTCTGTTCTTGCATTCTGTACGAGGGACAAGTTCAAAGAGAGCTGGATCTCACCCAGGTGCTATTAGATTCTTTTACTCCATCCTGTATATGTCCAGCTGCTCTTTGGTAGTTCAACAGGTGATCTGGGAGAACATTAGACTTATAGCCAGAGCCTTCCAGAGAGGAGAACAGAAACGACCGTTATCTACAACCAGACTCTATATAAACAAGAGGTTTACGATGGCCAGTGCTGGGTGCAGAATTGGTGAATGTGCTGCTGGCAGGGATATAAATGATGACTTCAGTTGCGGTGCTGGATTTTCTGCTTTGGACTGCTCGCTTCTCTGAGTGCTTTTCCAGTTCAACAGAAGCCAATCGGGGCATAATAAGGATTCCCAAAGCTAACAGATGAGACGCTGTTGCTGGGAAAACACATCGGGAAGCCAAAATCCAAATGCAGCCAAATGCAGAAGAGGCCACTCGGATCTGCCAGCTACAGAACATCAAAAGTTAGTGGATGCAGTGACTCAGGAACATGTCCTCCCAGGGTCTCGTGTTATTTTGTGTTTGCAATCGCCAGTTTTATCTCTGTGCCTCAGCTCAGAGTCCCAAGGGGAGACTTGTCAGGACAGAGGGGATCCCCCCAAAAAAAGCCGGATCAGCTCCGGATCAGTGGAGTCAGCTCCACTTTGAGCTGAGCTGGGTACTGGGGGTGCAGCTCCTCTATAGGGGCGTCCTGGGACAAGGCAAGAGCCAGGAGAGCCCGACCTGAGCGATCCCAGCCCATCCCAGACCCATCCCGGTCTCCGTCCCGGCTGGGAGTGGCGTCGTCGTTCCTGCAGGTCTGACGAGGTGACGTGTGGCCCGAGGGCTGTGAATTCTGGGCGCTGGCGGTCCGCAGCACGATCGCAGGTCTGGGGACTGGGAGATCTCGCCTGCTGTGGTCCCCAGACCCGGGCCGCACGCGTGTCACAACATGCACGGTCCCTCGCTTTGTGAAGCGCCTTGGGGCAACCTTGCTGTGCAAGGCGCTATATAAAAATACATTGAATTGAACCGCATACGGCACGTAGCCCAGATTGCAGTAGGACCCTATGTGACTGACGACTGCTGTAAGTCATGGAGCTGGCAGAAAAGAGAGACAACTAGGTGTCCTTCGCCAGAAGACGGGATCTGAAATCGATGTCGCAGGAAAGCGCTAATCAGATCGCCGAGGGACCGGAAAACGAACAGGTGCTTGTTTCTGATCTGGTGAACGGGTTCTGATGGCCCGTGGGGAATCGCGGTCTCGTGACTGGTTGATGGAGCCGTCAGATACGGACGCCTTCGAATCGTCGCTCGTTTGAGGCCGTTACCTTCCGCCGTCTGAAGGGCAGACCTGTGACGAACCGCGAGGATTCCCGCTGTGAAAAACAACTCCGATGGACTCCTCGTCCGGCAGTCTTAGCCAGGTCTGCATCTGCATGCGTTCCAGTATGAAGAAGAAAAAGACTTTTTTCTTTGCCTTTTTATTTGTATCCTCTTCTTTGACTAGACCGCCTGGGCTTATTCTGCCAAAAGGTTTCTTTGGGTTTAATTTCCCGGTCCTGGAGGACTGGTCAGTGTGTCTGCAGGTATCTCTAATCTCTCTAACACAGTGCTGGGAGAAGCTGTCAGACTGGACCAGCAAAGAGGGCATTTAGCTTGTTAAGAGCTGAGCTGGAATGGTGTCTCATGGGAGCTGGAATGCACAGCTCTGGTCTAAATCCTGGAGCAAGTTAATGAGTCAAATGGAGTCTGTGTGAGGTCAAAGGTCAACACGTTAGGAATCTTGTGCCTGTAGCTGTGTGGATGGGGAATTCCAGAGGCCAGTCTGGCACAGCTCTACTGTCTGCATTTGCTAAACAGAAATGCCCTATTTGTGCTGGAAACAAACCTCCTCTTTCTCTAAACCCCGTCCTACTTCTTTCACGTTTTCAGTTCAATATTCCCACCCGCTGTGGAATTACACTTCAAAGAGAAAGTGGGTACTCACGGGGTTGTTGTTTTTCAAATCGCACTTGACTTTACTGTTTAATTAGTGTTCGTGTGTGTATTTGATTGAACAGCCGGCTTGGTCAGTTCAGGTACTCGAGTGGCATCATGAGCCGCGGGGGGGTCTAGCTCCGAGGTAACCCGCAGGCGCTCCGCTGAGCCTGGTCCGAGTTTAATATCGAGCGAGCCACGCGTGGACAGCTTCGTGACCTTCATCTCCATCCAGCGTTACTCCTCCCACTTCCTCACTCTCATTTAAGCTCTCCGCCCCGATCTTCCCCTCCGACTCTCTCCTGTCTCGTTATTACGCGTCAGTACATCAGCCCGTACCTTGTGCGATAGCGCGTCTGCCTGACACGATACCCACGGTACCATTCTACGACTTTTCGAGTTGAAAAGCGGTGGGTTGGATTGCACGGCGCACGCCTTCGTGTTAAAGGAGAACGGGGAGTGCCCTCATGGTTGTAATGGTGACGTGAGGTCCGAATCGTAGCATTTCATTATCGAATGAACTCCAGCGGAAGGTCGGTCCGTTCACCTTCTACAAAGCCGTGCAGCGGCAAGACCACTAAACCCAGTTCCAGCTGAGCTCTTTGTAGCTGGTTGGTGCTGCGTTGAACAATGTAACACCGATGTGGTCCATACACTCAGATGAGCGTTGGTCGCTCGTAATTACGTCATAATTTAGAGTCTCGTAATTACGAGATGACTTACTGCCTCGTCATAACCGTCGACGTCGTTTTACGTGGTACTTCTTCTCGCACAGGGCGAGACACCACACGGTTGTGCTTCAGTTCTGAGTCGGCACAGCCAGGGCGATGAAGAGGAGATTTCGCGGCGAAACGACCCGTCTTGGACAGCGGGAGAAGTCTTTGAAGAAGGGCATGGGCACAACACGACCTTCCTTCAGAAACATGTTCCCGGCCCCGGGCGATCATCGTGACTGATGAAGGACCCCCACTTGGGCTCGAGTGGTCTTCCAGCGAGAGACACCAAAGCCCTTTTCCGCAGCCGGAGAAGTGAGAGGGCTACCCCCCCCTTTTATTTCTCAAGATGCGGCCCTTAATCCATGACTTTGATTGCCAGTGTGGTTCAGCACCAGCAATAACACGAGCAGACGAGCCCGTGCCGCTTGTCAGCCCCCGCGGGGGCTCTCTCGTCTCCTAATGTGACATTTAACCGTGACATTTACACGACCCTTGCCGCGGCAGGCGCGCGGGATAATGACTCTCCTCGTCACGTTCCGAGGGGCAGGCAGGGAGCGCGGCGTGCGAGGAGACTGTCAAGGAGAGGAAGGAAGTGATTTCCACCCGTTTAAGCAGGCCCTTCATGGCGACTGCCATCTGTCTCTACGTGTAGATGGCAAATTCCACGCGCAGTCCAGGCCGGGCTAGGTTGCATTTAAAGGCGCAGTGTTTTGTTTCCGCCACGTTTCTCTCTCAATTTCTTCGGGGGGATTGTGTGTGCGTGGATGCCCGCGCTCGCATGCGTTACTCTCAACGCGCGGAGAACGAGTTTTAATTTGAGAACAGCGTTACCACACAACGCAGCAGCTCCTCACGGACGGGTGATGCGAGAGGGCCGGTATGCGAAGCGATTGCAGTAGCAGCCCACTGCCGCCAGAGGCCGCTGGAATCCCAAGGGACTCTCTTGTAAGTATGCTGGTATTGTAAATGAGATGGTAATGGGTTTGCAGATGATGTTTATGTGATGTGAATGTTTAGAACCCACACGTTCGCATCTACAACTGTGTTTGCTATATTATGGGGTTAGCTCGGAGCGGGTGGTGCTTGGGTTTGGCAACAGTTTGTCTGAAAGCCTTTTCTTTTGCAATTTCCTTAAGAATACTTCAATAAATGCTCCTGGCTCCGACCGGGCAGTTTTGCGATCCCTACAAAGGTATCAAAGCAAATGTACTTGAGGGTGTGATGCCTGATCTTCCACTGCTCTGCAGCGTCCTTTCAACAGAGGGAGAAACTAGATGCTGATTGTTTTAGCAGCATCTATATCCTTCTGTCATTCAAGTTCAAGTTTATTGTCGTATGCAGCTGAGCACAATGAAATGCTTGCTCGCATGTTTTCCTCATATGACAGATGTCGGAACATGGACATGGCATAACCAAGGACAATTCTTGGAGACAGGCACAGGGTAGTGTTGTTAGAGAATGACACGTCCCGTATGAGCGATCCGTCTCATCCAAAGCAGTGTTTCTGGTTCAGAACGCAGGATGTCTCAGGATCTTTAAGGAGGTAGCAAACCAGCCCCTGTTCTCGGCTCTTGCTTTGCTTATGGAAAAGAAGTCTAATGCACGAGCATCAGTAAGAAACTCCTCAGGATCGTTGAGGCTCATCAATCATCTTGCAAACACTTTAAAGATGTACTGTAGATGTTGGAACACCAGATTACTTTTCTATGCCTGACAGCCTGCTGCTGCACAGACATTTGCCTTTTTAACTCTGTTGGTTGATATTGACAGATGCAATCCCTGTTGTCATCTCAACATTTAGTGCTCTTCATTCGTGGTTGTGAATCAGCGATGATCAACTCATTTACATTCCGTTTCCTGCTTGGTGAGGTTTCTCGGTAGCGCGAGGAACTGAAGTATTTTTTTTTTTTTGGTCTGTTTGTTTGTGCCGGGCGGAGATAAGCAGGAATTTATTCTGTATGCATCATCTGCTTTGATAACAAAAAAGAAAAATCCCTAGGATGTTCCTTAAAGGTTGCACCAATGTAAAAAAGAGAACAGAATGCAACATGTATGTTAATCTGCATATTAATTGCACTGTTTTAACACAGACCAGACCCAATGGCTTTTGTTAACTTCAGGGCTTTTTAGTACAGTACAGTTAAAGGTGTAGTATAGTCAAATCGAAGGATGTTATGTTAAAATTTTGTAATGCTCTGGAGACACAGGAGAAAAGTATTAATAGAATGAATAACCCCACCCCCCCCCCATCAGGCATTGATTCTGATGTCATGGGCTGTGAAAAATACAGACTGTATATCCTAATATTCTATTGGCCATTTCTATTATTTCTCCAGGAAGGACTAGATAGACAATTATGTGGGTTCCCAAACGTTTCATAGACTGCTTCTTTCCCATCTCGTATCTATAACACAGCCAACAGGTGCCGGAGAAATTTGGAAATGTGAGTATTGAGAAGCTCAGGTCAGTGGTGGTGAGCAGCAGTTACTGGTGTGTTTTGTGTGTGAAAAGGTGCATGCCCTGCCAGGCTCGAAAATGCATGAGCTTGGGTTTTTGACTCAGAACAGAAGGAAAACAGCAGAACAGCCGAAGGGCCTGTTAAATATTAATGCGTTTAACGGAGATCTCGGATTTTGCACACGACACTTTTGCCTTGAACTGTGGCCTCACACACGCACACACACATTGAGAAAGGCTGTCTGACTCTCCCTGGCCTGTCCAGATATCTCTGTCCTTAAAACAGACCTCCTCAGATCTGCCTCCAGTTCTGTCTTCCAGATGGGCAGCAACAGGCAATCTATTGAACAAGTGTAAGCAAACGTGTTCTGTACAAAAAGTGGCAGCTCACTTGAACTGCCGAGCTGTTTAAGGAGTCAAGTCTGTGTTATTTGTAATTCCAACCATATACTCTCAACTGTGTGT